TCCTAGCCTCTGATCTGAGAAGGCGTCATCTCTGTTTAAGGCAAATTTTCAAGTTACTTCTTTGAATTCTTCCTCTTGGAATTAGCATCCACGGCTCTTCCTCCTCCTCCAGCTCCAACTTTTTCCTGTCTTTCTCCCCCAACTCCCACTTTTCTTCCTCTATTCAACTGTGGACTTCAAACATCTCTGGGCTAGTGTAAAGAATAGTAAAGGAAATTGATTGTATTTCCTACGATCCCAGGATGTCTAATTTGATCTCTCGAGGAAGTCCCACATTGATATGATTACCTTCTCACTCCACAAAGGACAGGCATTTTAAGTTATTGCCAGAGAGAAGTCTGAGAGACACCTGGCAAATTAACATATGGTAATGTGGAGACAATGCCTTTTTTGTTCTTTAAAATCATTTTATTGGGAGCTCATATCACAATCCATCCATCCATCCATTGTGTCAAGCACATTTGTACATTTGTTGCCCTCATCGTTCTGGAACATTGTCTTTCTACTTGAGCTTGCAGTATCAGCTCCAGTTAAAGGCAGAAAGAGAAAAAGATGAGTAATAATGAAAAGGAGGCAGCGTCAGATGATATGCAGAGTCTGATGTAAAGGGAACTTTATTGAGGTGGCTTTATGAGATGGTAAGTCCAACTCTGGCAGATACTGTTTTAGGAAGAGCACTTGGTGCACAAACAAACATGATTGCTCTGGGAGACTATCATGCTGACTGTATGGATGGAAGGTCACGTAGAACATTTCCAACATCCTGCACTCAACGCTTCATTTTTGCTCAATATAGGCTGCGGGATAGCCTCAGGGGTTCACAGGAGAACATCTGTGAAAAGTAAGACCTGTGGGGTAGCTGTTAAGGCCTTAGGCTGCTAATCTAAAGGTCAGTGGTTCTAACCCACAGCTGCTTCACAGGAGACAGATGTGCCAGTCTGCTTCCATAAAGATTTGTAAGCTTGGAATCTGTGTGGGGCCAGTGTGACTCTGTCCTCTGGGGTTGTTAGGAGTTAGAATTCACTTGACTGCTGTGGTTTTGGCTTGTTGGTTTGATGTCATTATGGCTCAGGTGACCAGAAATGGAGAAAGCATCTTTCAGATCCCCCCCACCCCCACCCCAACACTGAACAAGGGTAAATCTAAATGTAAATCTTAAAATTGTAAATCTAATGACACCAGGAAGTGGGTTTTGATGTTCAAATCAATGGGGCATTTCACGGTAAT